CTGCCTCTCCTGCAGAAACCCCTGCTCGGACGGGAGCGTGCCCGGGGGGTCCCCAGCCCCCCTCCCGTGGGTGCCTCTCTCCACCAACAGCCTCACAAGGGCTGCAGTAGCACAGACTGTTCCCCTCCGTGCCCCCCGTCTAATTTAAATTGTTTATCTTTGCTGCAGAAAGAAAATTAGGGGAAAAACCCCCCAAAATCGTAGTTGTTGCATTCCTGGTGGTGTTTATTACCCTCTACCGTGTTATCCCCGGCCCTGATGCGGACCCTGAGCTTTCACCTGGAGGGATCGCTACCTCTTAGGTATAAAAAGTTATTTCATTCCCTCTTTTTCAATCTCAGGGCTCGTTTTAGTGCATGCGATCATTTTGAATTGTTCTCAGCAGTGAGGTATTTTTTTTAATGGACTATTGAGCTCAGATAACAAATTTTAAATTATAACACACATGACCTGAGCCAATTTAAACTTAATCTAAAATGCCGAGTAGCTGTTACCCCAAATGGCTGCAGGAACACACACACACACAGAGCTGTTGTTCAAAGAAAGTTACTGCAGTGGAGTGAACGAGGCCTTCAACCCACAAGGCAGGCGAACCCTCCATCAAGCACGTCGCTACACCCCGGTGATTTAAAGCAGATTTGTGTGGACCAGAATCTGAATTAGAATATTTTTTTGTCTCTTCAGGCCACAATAAAAAGCAGCATGCTTCAATGTGGTTGGGTTTTTTTTTTTTTTCTAAATGCCCGTTTTTGTCTAGGCTGTCATTCAATTACCGCAGCCTTGGGCTAGGTTGCTTTGAGACGAGCTTGTAGCAGACAGACGCTGGTGCCGGAGACCGATGCACCCAGCTGGGGATGGGGCGGTGGGTCCCCCCAGGGAGGTGCTCAGCCCCGGCCGTGGGTGCTCAGCATCAGCGTCCAGGGCCCTGGACCACCCAGCAACCTGATTTAGCATCTGTCACACACCTGCAGCCCTGTCCTCTGCCCAGGAGGGCTGTCCGGGCTGGCGTGGTTTGTTTTCAGTTGTTTTGTTTGTTTGGTGGACGACAGGGTGACCATGAGCCAGCAGCGTGCCCTGGGTGCCAAGAAGGCCAAGGGGATCCTGGGGTGCATCACGAGGAGTGCGGGCAGCAGGGCGAGGGAGGTTCTCCTGCCCCTCTGCTCTGCCCTGGTGAGGCCCCATCTGCAGTGCTGGGTCCAGTGCTGGGCTCCCCA